TCCAAATATTCGTTCGGTGTGTAATTACATTTAGTCCGCTCTCTGACATTGTGTTGGAAAAGGAATTGAAGTCGAGATTATGTCTTTCACGGAAGTGACTTATTTTCCGCTACTAGATTCGCAGAGCCCGCAAGGCTTCTGGAACTAATTTATGTATATTAAACATGGAAATTAAATTTAGAAAATAACGAATGTGGATACCAATTCAGGATACATGTGGGCACTTTGAAAGCGGTGTAAATTTAGACGGCTTTGGCGGGTCTTAAAAGCGCCGAAGCAGCACGAAATTTTGCAAGTGAGAGCAAAAGTCATAATGCATTTGCTAAGCGATTTCGATTCAGCCCAACTTCATGAATATATAAAGGATCTTTTGGTGTGCCATCGATAATCAACCACTTTACGGGTTACCCATTGTTCTGCAAACAATTGGTTATTATTCTCCCATGGCCAACCTTTCCCCATTGGCTCCATTGTCCCTTATAATTGCACTATAGAAAGAATGGATCGATACATGTCACGTGCCATTTTGATGCTGGTGGCTTCGTTGTATTTCTGTAAACAGTTCAGCCCTTTTTAGATTGATCGCCCGATAATGTGAACAGATGGCAGTAAAGAGCATTTCAAACGTAGTAAGCTCGTGTGACTGTCGCTGCACCCACAGGTACGCCTTTAAACTCACTACACCCCATTAACAATGCACAAGAGAACGTGGATTATTTCTCCGTGGTTAGAAAGTACAGCCGAATGTTTTCAGTGTGGGTGGTTTTCACGAAAAAAAAAATGGTTTAAAAACGCAGAATAGGCCTTAATTAATTTGGCTACTGACGGTATATCCATATGGAGATATCGGAGTCCAAGTAAACTCAACAACTCCGAGGAATTCAGACCTCTGCAACACATATCGCAATGTTCGTCCTTGGGGAAGATCCGTGCACTGCTATATAACTATATCTTTCAACATGGGGTGATTTTCCTTCCTTTAAATCGAAAAACCAGTTGCTTTTTCCCAATGGAATATTTGGGGATTTTTGTCTGACACCTCGTCTTCCGTTATGAAGATTATCAACGCCACTAACTTCGTTGTAGATCATCAGTGGAGAAAGTGACAAACAGCAAATTTGACTTCAGCTTGTCACGCACATGTTTTTTTTTTTTCGAAGTTGGAAAAGAAAGGGACCAGACAATTACCTTAACACGTGCGCGTCCACACACGTCGCTTGGATTCGGCGGCCATTTTGAAAGAAACAAAGGCAACACACGGTACAAATGCGCATGCGCATGCGCAAGCTCTGCATGTGCCTCGTCAAAATAAATTATTGAGACAAGACAATTTCACGTCTGAGACCTGTTTTCCTGTTTCTTAAGCCGGTGCATTTTCAGGGGCATACATGTGCCATGTACATATACTCTGCAAGTAAAAATCTTCTAAACTTCGTCCTCAGAAGTGCACAGCCCATTAACTGCATAAAGATGTAAAGACCGACATGGACAAAGACCGACAAGAAATATAAAGCATGCCAACATCCAAAAGTTTTAATTTCTGTCACATAAATTGGAAACTTGTCTCCCATAAATTGGAAAAAACAGGCAGATTGTTCACGCCAGAAGCGTCATCTACACGCTATAAAAGAAAAACACCTCTGCTTAAGAGGGCGCCCTCTGCTGCTTCATAGCGTTTCGCGGGTTTGGTTGGAACGTCGACTCGCAGTGGAGATTTGGGCGCACGCGTGATGGTCACCCACCATCATTGTAGACGCAACTAATGAAGCGGTAAACGGAACATAAACAACAGCGTCCTTCGGTATTATTAATTTAAACAAAAGCTGGAAAATATTTTCGACCACTTTTTTTGTTCTGAAGCTCATTAGCGCGATAGAAACGGAAGCACGCTTTATGAGTGACTGCGTAACCGCTGTTCCGAGAAATACTTGTGCCTGTTTGTAATATTGTGTGCGGTTTTTCGACCTTAAATTGTCATTTAATTTCCTTATCCGCTCGTAAGAGTCATCGCAAAAACAATTTTGCTAATTTTTTTTTCGAATGACGATCGTCGCCTCTCTTGGCATGCGATCTGTGGATAAGAAACTCCTTTCTTGTGTACCCTGACGAAACGGAATCAACGAACCCTAGTTCAGGGTGGGGTGTTTTTTTTTTTTTTTTTGGTCTTGCATTCTTGGAGGGTCACGTCATAAAACCAGCAAATCCACTCGGCATTTTGCAGCCTCATAAATATCCAGCCCACGAGCAATTAAGAAAAGTGACTCTGTTGTGTGGGAGGTTTGAAGGGCCATGTGCACCCGGCTTCCGTTAAGAAAAAAATGATAAAACTAGTGTTCAATAACATTAGGCCTGCACCGCGAAAACTGTGGTGTAAATTCAACACTTGACTGGTGCTGTTCTCTGTTCACTGAACACCAAAGTTGTGCCGTGTTTGACTGGATAGCACTGGTACCGACAAGCACGTCATATTTCGAATGTCGTCGGTGCAAAACCCGTCGCGATCTTTTCTTCGATCTAATACAGATTTGAAAGTCACCATGCAGTAAGTTTCCCACTGAGGTTTTTTCGGTATATGTATAGAAATAAAATATACACATGTTATTTGAACTTTGCTTTGACATTGTTGGAACCGTGGCACTTGCACGAACCCCCCCCCACACACACACAACTTTCAAGCACACGTACAATGTACAGTACACGTACATGCACAGTACAGGTACGTGGATGCTACAGATCGACTAACTTTAAAGATAGGCCTAAAAGTTAAACTTGAGGAAGACACCTGTTCGACGTTTTGGTAATTACACTCTGGTCGTCCTCAACAGAATGCTCGTACAATTTCCCAGATGCATACTTTCCTTATAAGTTAATACAAGGCCTCTCGCATTAAGACAGAAAGCGCAACCGGACTGCTATCTTTAAGATGAACAATCGGTGATTTAGCCTTCTCTAAAAGAGTGACTCTTACAATTTGGTGGGAACTCGGCAATCTTTACACACAAAAAGTTTAGGGGCAAAACCGCAGCCCAGACTACCCGTTTTCAAAATACGACCCGTCGTAAATTCCCCGTTCTTCGCGCCGTAAACTCCCCCGGTGGTGTCTCGGAGTCTGAGCCCGGCGTGGTCATTGACATTGCTGGCCTGGTCATTACCGGGTATTTTCAAGGGTGCTGACGACGCGAAACCGTGGGAACGCGCTTTTGGCGGGGGCTGCGCTGGCTTGCATGCAATCCCCAGCTCCGATCCCTTTGACGGGAGAGATGATGTCCGATCACTCTGTGTTGACGCCAGGCCGTCGCCCCACGCGCCTCGCCGTTTGTTGATAGACACCATTGTGCTGCTTATAGGTTATTATACACCCCTGTACAGGCGGGAAAATATAGCCTGCAAGAATGGGGGGGGGGCAGAAGTAGTATTTGTCCAGCTTAAATCTGAAACTTAACTGATTAATCATTATGTAATCCTTGAGTTGTAATCATATAACCCCCTTAATCTGAGTTGGCATGTCAACTGTCATCACCGAATCATGTACACTGTACACTGTATAATTGGGTACTGTATGATGTACTTCGTGTTGCCGATTGCGCACTGTACCGTGAAGGAATAGGTCCTCAGGTGACCGCACTTTTCATTTGTCACCACGAAAGTTGAAACACGCTACAATGTTGCAGTTAATTAACTGTATAGAACCGCGGTATGATCGAGTGAAACGGGAAGACACTATGGTTAAATGGTAAGAAACTGCAGCAAATATTTAGAAGTTTGTCTGAAAATTCAATACAATGTTAATGTACTTTGGGAAGTGAATCAAAACCTTGCCTTCTCTTGTAAATCTGCGATCTGTTCTTTCGTTTTCCCATAGAAAGGCCCTTATCAAGGTCACATTTTGGGCTGAATGGGAGGGATTCTACTGTTTCTACCTCGCGTTCTCAGCTGGCACCCTTAGCCTGCTTTTTTGTCCGTCTTAATACATCGTAAAAACGCGTCCCACCGCAAGTTACGTCACGCCCCAACCGAAGAACCCCCTTTTTCATGTACAATGTGTCAACTGTACAACTGGTCGGTCCCCCGAGGCACGTATAGGGTTTCAGGCGAATCCATGGGTGTGAATGGAGGCACAGCTTCCCATGCTTTGCAAAAAAAAAAATGCCCTCACTGTCCATCACTCCCAATGGTTGATCTCTTGACCAAACCATCGTCTTGTTACTGGGGTAAATGTGTGGTTATTGTCTCGGGAATATAGGAGACGGAAAATTCTCCAGACACGCACGTGAGGCGGGGAGGGGGGGGTCGGTATAGCAGCGAACGCTGTTTGTCCCCTCCCACGCGTTGCGCAATGCCACGGGTTGCCAGGGGCGCTCAAGTGGAGAGAGGTGACTTCTTAACATTTTTGGCGCCTTCCCATCTGAAAAGAGCGCGCCGGCGGGATTGTCAGATCTTAGGATAGTCAATGGGGCCAAATCGTGCAGACGATCCCATGCACAATAAGTGTGCAAGCCCTGGTGTAGGTCTTTTTTTTGGGGGGGGGGAGTCTAGGGTCGCTGGGTGATCTCTCCATTTACAGTATCTTTCGTTGAAAGTCGGCTCCTACGCGTATTGAAAAAAAAACACATCAGCACACTTACAATAAAAAATCAGTTTTTTTCTTCTCTATCCGCTTTCATCAGCGTGGTTTGTCACCTACCCCCCATTAGAAACCAGTTTCCACCTCGATAAACTCCAACCAGCATGCAAGTTTCCATTTTCTATTCATTTTTATCCAACGTAACTTAACAATCTCCAAATTAAACCGATTCAGAATACCTGTTATCTTTCATTGCCCGAACTGAGGAAGTCCCAAGAAACCAACTAAATTTCCACACACACACACAGCCACCAATTACACGACAAAAACAACAAACAAAACGAAAAAGCACACATACAAACAAACAAACAAACAAACAAACAAACAAACAAACAACCCAATACCCCAACCAACAAACCAACCAACCCAAAAGCTGCAGCCGTCATGCAAAGAGTTTCACTCGCAGGTATATTTATTTTGTGTTTTCATTCAAAACAATACGAAAATATATCTCAGAAATCGTACAAAAAATCCCATTTATCTCAGCACGTGGTGAATACCAAGGGAGGTGAATACTTTGGTAACCATGCAGACAAAAACAAATCACCATTAAACATTTCTCACCACAATCTTGAATATCTTGAATAACTTTCAAATTACCGTTTGATTTTTGGAATTTTCTGGAAGCACAACACATAACATAAAAACTCTATACTATATACATATTGTAAAGAACGTTTCGACTTGCATAGCCTTTTTATGCCTTAGAAATTCGAGTGGCTCAGCTTTCTCGAGTGAAAAAATAAATTACTGCTATGTACAACTCAAGAAAAGCACAGCCAAGAAAATTTCACATCGCTCATTCAAGTACATGAAAACTATTTTGCATAGAACATTTTGAACAATACCCCTGTAAAGCAAGGTGGTACAGAGGCATCTCAGGCATGTTTTAGAGTTACGGTTCGTGTTGAGTGCAGGATCAAATGGTTTCGTCTATCGTCAGCGTCCAGCAAATACATGTGCGTGTACACCCAGAGCATGGAATGCAGAATACACTATTATATTGTGGAATAGATTACAGTCTTGTTCATTTTGCATTGGAATATAGACCTGATTTTTTGAATAATGGAATGACAGTTACTGGAGTACAAAAACATGGAATACGGTGGATTACTTCGCAAGGAATGCTTCTCCTTCTTTAAAGCCAAGGAAAACTTAGGAAAAGGAAAAAAAAGGCGGGAAAATCTGTATAAACTGCCAATCAAGCTTCACAACAAGCCTTCACACTGTCATACATGCGATTTTTTTTTCTGTTTCGAAGTATTACACCAAGTGTTCTTTCAGTTCAGTTCTTGGTGGTTATTACCAAGGCCTCCACATTGAGTCCTGCTCGGCCGGAGGCGGGACATTGGCGTTGATGGGTCGCAAGACTGTGCTCCGCGAATTTGGGTTGACCTCCTGGCTGTGGGTGTTCTCGGCGAGCTGCAGGTGAGAGGTCTGGTAGACAGTACATGGCGCTGGGAGTGTGACCAGGGTCGGCGTGGCTTGGACCATGATAGGGGCTAGATTTCCGGCCACCGGGCTGCTGGCGGAGCCCCGGGCGTCTCCGTTGGTGACCGGGGAAGGGGCCGGGGACAGCACGGCCGAGTTTGGGTGGGACGGCACAAAGCACGTCTGGGGAGACTCCCTGGCGATGGTGTGCTGGTACACCTGGGCGCTGCTGGCGGGGTTGGACGGTGGGGAACTCACCGAGGAGGTCGGACTCGACATAGGAGATGGAGTGGTGCTGCCACTGTGCGACGAAGCTGGGGGTGAGAGTAGGGGCGTGCTCTGGGCGTAGACGGGGATGAAGTGACTGGGGAGCTGGCCACCGGGTAGGGCTTGGGAGGGCAGAACTACCGTGATCTCCCCAGACGGTAGGGTTCCTGGTACCCCGATGGGGATACCCGAGATCACCCGGGCTACACTGTTACTGTCCGTCTTGAGACCCGCGGGGTGGACTTGGCTAGGGACATTCACTGCAACGGCTTGAGGAAGAGACTGCGGGCTGGTCGAGCAAGGCACAGCAACCTGGAGAGGCTGTTGTTGCTGTTGAGCCTGCTGTTGATGCTGATGCAATGACTGCACAACTGTGGTGGGGACTGCGGCAGCTTGGGAGATGGTGGCCGCAGGGGCGTAAGTCACGTGTTGCTGCTGCTGTTGTTGCTGCTGTGATACCTGAGTTGGAGGCTGCTGCTGCTGCTTCGGCTGACCAGCTGCACCTTGCTGCTGGGTACTGCAGCAGTTGGCCAGGTGACCAATCAAGTTGGTGTGTACTTCCACGTTGGATTCAGACGAGCTGTTCAGGAACCTAGACACCTCATTGATGCATTCACTGTACCCAAGACGATAGCGGTTCAGCAGGTTGGGGTCATTGTTAATGGCAGCTGTGGAGAAAAAAATAAAAAAATAAATTTAAATGGTGAAGGAGACATAGGGCATGGGAAAGATCTCTCAACTACTGACACTGCAAGTATGCATTTCAAGCAATGCAATACTTCTGCCACCACCTTCATAATAAAAACTGAATTAATATTGGAATGTCAAAAAGGACATTTTCCAGTCGCCTCTTTTAATTTGTCTGTTCATCTGAATTTTAGTAAAGCTTCCATGCAATTCCAGTGGGTGTAAGTATTACTGGTTTCACAGCAATTAGTCTTACCAGACATCTGTTGTCTTTGCATGTTGCGAAGGTATTTCACAGTCATCTCCAAGATGTCTGCCTTCTCCAATTTGGAGTGGCGGGAACTCTGCAAGGGTAGACAAAACAGGACAAAGAAACATGAGTCAACAGCCAAGGTATGCGTATGCAAAGCGCGCCTGTGAGTATGACCGGTCGATGGGCACAGGTCGATCGTGCCCAGAAAAAAAAACGGCTTCGGAATTGATTCGAAACACGCGCCAAAGGCAAGATACGCCGATAAACGCACCTGTCACGGGCCAGTAAGTGTTTACCCGTGCGTTGAAAAGAGGGTACCCCATCAATTACCTGGATGAGGCAGCCCGGGTCCTATATGCGGTACAACAGGTGCATTTGACTGACTTGACAAACCAAAGTGAAGTGGGGGAAATGCATCAGTTCTAAACCACCGTGGGACCCAAACTGGAGCTGTCTTTCTCTCTCTGACTCTGCGTGGGGCTTCGGCGGTGCGGGTAGCGTAGACAGCACAGCCGCACTAGAGGTCGTGGGAGCTTTGCTGACTCCAGCGGCCACCGTCCCACGGGGCTCCAATTTCACTAAGCTGTCGTCACGTCTGAAATCATCTTTTCTTCTCGCTCTCTCTCTCTTTCGTAATTTTTGGCGGGGAACTCGGCCAGGGTCTTGAAAGACACAAAGTGGGCCCTCGTGGCAAAAAACAGCTTGGGCATGTATCGACTACACGTACGTACAGGCTGGTGCCCGGGGTGGGGTGGGGGTGGGGGGGTTAATGACACGAGTAAATAGACATAAGTCACAGGGCGCGCGAGATGGGGGAAGTTTATTTGTTGAAGGAGTGACGTCTTGAGACAGGTTGAAAAATGGCGATGGAGACAATACAAAAATTGGGCGCGAAAAATAAAAAACGCCAGAACGGTACACGTGAACAGGTGTCTAACTCTAAAAAACGATGTTTTGATTAGTAATAGTATCACAATTGATCAGATTTTCTCTATAAGAATTGCAATTTCCAAGAACATTCTCAATACTACAAATTGACAATCACCACTGACTAGTCGCGTTTAGTACGTAACATAGCATGATGCACACGACCGGAAAACAGAACTCAAATCACACACAGCACCGTTTATTTTCAATTCTAACCTTTAGAGAAAGCAGGGAAGGGGGTGGTTATATGAAGATAGACTTACATCTTTGTTGGTGGCTTCCAGGATGAGTGTCTTGAGCTGGCCCAGGCTGTCGTTGATACGAGCCCGACGCCTCTTCTCCATGAGAGGCTTTGATGACTGAGAATAGAGAAGAAAAAACACACGGTTAATGTTTTTTCCAGATCGATAGTGTATAAAAACCATGTAAAGCCTTCAGGTTCGGCAAAAGTAGTTTCGACCATGTTAAAATTTGGCAAGCCAAAAAACCTAACAGTTGACACACCGGCATGGCAGGTTAAATAAGCAAATCGAACATACTGTCATGACAAGAATCCGAACATATTTCTACCATTTCTCAATCTAAAAAAATCGTTAACCAGTGCACAAAAGGCGACGAAATTCCAATACACGGTTTCAAAAGTCAGATGTCATTCTCTACGTTCGTGTTACGTAGTTGCAAACACTAACGTGAAGGGAAAATGTCCAGAGGTAACATTATCCTCAGAGAAAAGCTACAAAAACCTAACAAATAGGAGATAGCTACCTTTCGTCCTTCGTGCATCTTTGGCTTGTTAGACGTATCTATCGGCATCCTGTCTCAAGTCACAAAGACAGATGGAACAGAAGAGGGAGGAATTCCAACAGAGAATAAAAAAATCCTGGGAGTGGAGCGTGTCGCGTGTACGTGTGTCGAAGCACAGGACGATATGGTGACTAAATATTTTTCGTGTCGTAAGGGGTATTTCAAGTTATATGTGAAAAGATTTGCGCTCCAAATGCCTTCACACTGCGCTTTGGCTAACTTCTTGGCCGCACGTCCCTATTCAACGTCTCGTCATTCACGCACGCCTTGCAGTCTGTGTGAACATTCCATAACACGGGTTCCCACAAGTGAATTCCGGGACATTCCGCCAATCGGCGGCGTGCTGATAAAAATTCAGTCACTCACCGAGCGGCCGCGAGTGTGCCGGAAATAGCGGGCGCTCATTGGCCGGCGGCGGCCGACCGCGCACACGCGATTGGATTAAGACGGTGGTGACAGCACTCATGGGCGGAGCCTAAGGGTTTGCGGTGCTGTTCATCGGTATGCGATGCCGGTTGTTCTCGGTGAACCACACGTGCCGACTCCATTGTTGCGGCCCGACGTCGAGCGTGCCCAGAGTGTGGGAAAACCCCGCCCCTCGAGCCCGACGACGACTCAGCTAATTGTAAACAGGCAGTCAAAGGTAAACAGTGATCGTAGATAACGTTCCCAGTGGTGTACTGTTGCTAGCCACGGGGTCGCGATCCGCCGAGACTGATGCTGCGAGCCCTGGCTACCCCGTACGTGCGTGCGGGACTTACCGGTTAACTCGTCCAGTGTCACGAGACAGGGTACACGCGGATCACGCCGAACCACCAGTGCGTGTCCGCGGTAAACATTATCCCACGCTTCGGTACAATAGGACCTGCCCTATCGGAATGCACTCCCCCAACAACCACAAGAAATATCTCTTCTCATCCGAAGCCCACAGTCTGTCTGTTACCACCATTCATTAATGAATTTTCTGCACTTAATCTGGAGGAGCCGGCGAAACTGAGTAGCTGCAACTCTCCAATTAAAAAAAAAAAATCAGTGAACGAAAGCATTGGCAAGATGCGTCATTTCAGGGATACCTCTTTATCATGCGGTTTCTTTGTATTTCGCAATCTAGTCATTTATAGGTGGTATTTACGAGGTGTTTACTGATGATATTTTAGGGGCCTGCCTTATCACGGTACCGAACCATGGGAAAGGCAAACAAAGAAGCGATTTGGTGAGCTCACCTGTGGTCGAAACAAATCTTTGCCGAGTTCCCTTATCTGAATATTGGTACAAAGAGGTCTCGTCACTCACGCTATTTTTTGTATTTTTTAAAATTCACGGCCAGGTATACAGTAACATTCCTGACACTATGAGAATTGCGCTGTTTGACTAGACCGATTCTGTGGATTTTATCGTCTCCAGCGAATCGAGCGAGTGAAATGCAAAACGACATAACTGTTTCCCCGCAGTGTTTGCAACATGCCCAGCCGATCCATGATGTTTTTTTCTCGAACATTTCAAATATACCATCGGTTGCAAGTCGACAAGTTGTCTTTCACAACATTGCAGTATCCCTAACCTTGCGAAGTAATTACTTTTGTTCCTTACAAAATGTCACATTCATTTACAATGAGAATTATCTGCAAATAGAACCGAAAAATTGGGCAGATTTTTCAAAACTGTTGCCCACTTGAAGCCTGTACTCTTTTCGACTTCATTTAATGTTTTTGTCATGTTCATTCATTTCCACTTTAAACAACCCTGGGGTCAAAATCAAAATCTACCGACATCGGCCTATCCCATAAAATGTACGAAATTAACATCTTTTAAAAAACAAATCATCAGTAGAATTGCAGATTCCACGTATGGCAAACACGAGAGGGCGGGGGAGGAGAGATAAGGAGGGAAAGAGAGAGGGAGAAAAAAAAAAGAAATCAGCACTGATTAAATAAACGGGCACTCCGCAGTTTAAATAACACCTGTTAGGTGAGACTATCGGAATTTTCCCACGGTCTGTTCCCCACGCGGACCCAGCCGGGTACTTGAGAGTCAAAAAGTTCCCACTTGATTTCGCACGTGCCTGGTTGGTGCACCCACTCAACGCCTGGGCTCCTTATCGCGCCGCGTCCCCGTATTCTCCGCACTATCGATTGGCGACCGATAAGACATTTTCTGGTCACCGCAGGGTGCTTGTCACTATGTAGCGAGTGTCACAATGCTGGTGAAAAAACCCAAAAGATGACAGGGATGTGTGTGCATGTGACATATCCAGCGATATACATGTACATGTACATCATTTGTACTTGCTTTTGCTTTTACAGTGCTAAGGACATAATTTACTAACAGGTGTTTTGTTAGAGACCTATCAAACCTCTTGCCGTAGACGGTAGGGCGGACATTCAGCGAACGAATTTCGCTGCTCTACAGTTGATGAACTCACTTCCAGCGTGAACGTGTCATCGTTGGGTTATAGTTTTTCATGGTCATTCATGTTTTAACAGCCAAGTGTACCAGCAAGAGACACCTATCGATCCGATAATTTTTTTCCCACATACCCTTTCCACAAACTATGGCTTTTGAGTCAAAAGTCTTGCGGTGCACCGTTAGTAAATGCATTATAAACAAGGCTGATACCCCTGTCAGATTAGCAACACAGCCTGTTCGATCAAGGGACAAAAATCGATCGCGTGATTAGACCCATAAGATCTGATTGGACAATCTTTAATTGCAATGCGTCTGTCAGTGTCATTTTCATGTGAACATAAACAAGTCACGGTCCATCCAAATTGGAGGAATTTTGAGAAGGTCCCTCAGACAGTGGTATCATCCAATAATCATCGAAAACGTGAGGGTCTTTTGAGACATAGTTCTGTTTTTACGCCTGAAATCTCTTTACCTAGGCCTTCACTCCTACAGCGTAAACTTTTTCCACCATCATGGATGACCACAAGAGGGCGCTGTCCCAGTCATGCGCTCACGAGCTTTACAGCCATGGACGTCATTAAGAAGTGATTCGCGATATTCTTCCATTGATTGAAGCCACCGGTGGCCATCTTACCATGCCGAATACAAATGTTGTGTTGGCTTTCGTGCCATTGTAGCTTTCTGTTGCCGCGAAAGATTCGGCTAATAATGGCAAGCAAGACGTTGAGTTTCCTTTGAATTCGGCTCGGTAAGATGGCCACCACTGGCTTCTATGACCTATGCTGGCTGATGGCGTCCGTGATTACGGCCCGTAAAAGGACAGTGATCTTGGTAGATATTGCTTTACAGACTGCTTGGTAAGCACAGCAGCTCAAAATTATGCTTGAGCTGCTTGATGTACACCGGAGTGTTTAAAGAAAAAGTGCCTTGAAAGTTCAGCTTACCGTCGTGTCAAATATCCCAGGCAGTTACAATTTTTAATCAGTAAGTTGAACCTTTTGTGGAGGAGGAGCGAGAGTGGATGAGGAGATAGGAGGTTAGTTAATGTGGTGAAGATTGTATTGTCTGGGTGCTCTCTTGGAGTTGCTGACCACTAGAGGTCAATATGCCCGTCACTGATGATATCACGTGTCAGGGGTACCTGTGGTGTGATTGACGAGACCAGGATGGTGAAGAATCACAAGAGAAGAGAGATCAAAGTGGTGAACTCTGGAAATAGGAAAATGCTGCCTGTTTGAGAGGCTGCCCCTTTTCTCTCAGGGGCTTCTTCTCAGAGGTCACGGTGGTGATGCACGCAGGTTACACTAATGAGGAGGAGAAGAAGCCCTGCATAGGCCATCTGAGCCAATCCCACACTTCCAGCCACTGCTGCATTTACGCATGCGTGGGACCGTGAATCTGGCAGCCGACGCAGGCATGCGCATCCACGTGCGCGTGGTCTGTTTACTGGTTGTTGTTTATGAAAATTCATAGTTTGACATAATTGTGGGGGTGTTGCCTTTCCACGCTTCTTGGCCTCAGTCATGCGTCGAATGGCCGGCCCTTTTGTTCGGAAAATGCTGTCTTTACCCTTTTCTTTGTCGGAAATTCCTAAAAATAAAAAAAAAAGCCGGGCGAAACTTGAGAGCGTATTTCGCAAACTGATGGGGACTCTCCTAGTCCGTGAACTTTGCTTTTCATTTTAAAACTAATTACCTTATCGCATGCCACTTTTGGCAGGTAGGAAGCAGGCAAGCAAGCACGTTTCTGAGACGAAAAAGTGATGTCACAATCAATAACTATGACTGAAGTGAACGGGCATCGCCAATTATCGGTCGCCAGAGTGTCAACCCATGACGTAATCATCATAGAGTGCGGGCTTTGTGCTTGTCGACCCCCCCCCTGCTTTTTGTTTGTTTACTTCTTACCTTTGTATTGCCCGTGTTGCCCCTAAAATATGATCATTTGTAATGTTTCATGTACATTTTTTTTTTCTCGGTCCCGCACGTCGTTCAAGCTTTGTTTGGCCCGCAATCACTGCCTGACAATCACAGGGGGGCCCCACTTACAGCGTGTGCCGCGATGTGGGTGATGACCCCCAAAAATGCGCGGCCATCAACTTGAAACCCAGTCTGCCTCCCACTCACGAGTTTCTGAGGGTCCTGGTTGCGATAAAGAAGGGAGCCACGCAGAACGAGACCGAGGGAAACGGACAAGCGTACGGTTCCCACGGTACGGGGTGTCCGTGGTATCCGGCAGGCGCGCTGGTGTCGCGTCGCTCTTCGCGGAATCTACACAGCCCAGTATGCATACATATCCGGGTGCACCTCAGGTAGGCCCCAGACAAAGACATTCCTCTCGCAAAAAAAACCCAATAAACAAAGTGACTTAATCGTCACCTCCAGTTTAGTCCTACCATGGTGGTACTTCTAACTCTATGGTCCTGCACACTCTATACTGACTATTAACAAAGTGCGTCGCAAAGTTTGGAAAACCACGATGGTTGCCTGGCAATCTTCTTCATGTTGTTTTCTAAGAAAAACTGGACGACCATTACCTGTGTTACTCCAAGTCTTTGAGGTCGCTCCAGAATTTGTAAGAGTTTCTTCTCATAGCCGTAGGCGCAATTACTTGGGTGTTATCTCGCAAAACGGCAGCCGTCAATTTCAGAAAAGACATCGTTAATCTTCATGTTTCCACTCCACCGCAAAGGCCTACCCACTGATTTTCCGGTGGCTGTTATTTGTGTATCTTGGAGCATTATTAGAAAAGCCAAACACGCTGCACCATGTGGCCGCATGATTGTGATAGATTTGTGGGAAACATGGTGTTATATTTACACCCATACACCACACGGTGCTAGATTGACACCGCATTTAGTTTGCATGTTGAGGTACAGAATCGGTATTGTGATGCATATGGCTTTTTGGTAATCATTCAGATTCATGATAAAAAACCTCAGGACGTAATCTTATTTCAG